ATCAACATCATGGCAATGTGGCGCTCATGTCTCCACATGCCGCATCTCAATTACCTTCCCAAAGGTAATTGCCCAAGCATATAGCATTTGATAAATATGAGTATGCATGATTCTAGAATAGCATTTCTAAGCAATTGTCATAATTGACTAAGGACTCATACGTAAACATGGTTACGAAGACATAAGGGGTAAACAATAATCAAGGCATGGCATAATCACAAGTATGATGTTCATCATTGCATGCAATTTTATTTGTAAACAAAATAATTTCGCAATTGGGATCAACATGTTCAAGGAATAGTGATGACTTGCCTTGCTCGTAGTCCTGCGGGTCTTGACCCTCGCTCGGATCCGCAACTCCCTCGGGCTCTAAAATTACGTGCGAGGAAATGATTTGAATTCAATTAGAATTCAATTAAAATCCAAATAACTCAAAAAGTCGAACGCGAATCGATCTTTCTATATTGACTACAAAGTTTGCGAAACCACTTTATTCGAATTGTTGGGTCTTTTAACCTAAGTCATTTTGTGATTTAGAAGTACATTCCTAAGAATTCAACCTAATTGTTTAATTCTTTAAATAAATCTAATTTCCTACCGCGAATTGATTACTTATAGAGATTACCAAAAATAACCTATAATTATAGTAATATTTTGAAATCCTACATTTTAATTAATCTATAATTAATTTCTAATTATTTTAAATTTTCTAATCCTCCTTAATCTCCCTCTAATTTCTATGTTGTTTTTATTCTATTTCTCCACCCTTCTCTTTCTTTTCTTTTTTTTCTCTCCTCCTTTCTTTTCCTCTCTCTCGGCTTCTCCCCACCTCTCTCTCTCTCGGCTCACGGCCTACCCGGGCGGCGACGGCGACCGGACGTGCGGGGGGGGGGGGGGGGAGGAGGGGGGGCGGCTCACCAGCGGCGGCGGCGGTGGCGGCGCAAGGCGGCGATGCACGGCACAGCACTCGGCGCGGCGCGGCGGCTTCGAGGCGACGGCGCGGCAGCACGAAGGCGGCGACGCGTGGAGAAGGAGGGGGGAGATGGAGGGGAATGGGTGTGGAGTAGAGAAGGGAAGGGGCCGGGGTTTTATAGGGCGCGGGGAAGGGGGCGGCCGGCCCTAATAGCGATGCGACGGGCGGGCGGCACGGCGCGGGGCGCGAGGCGCGACGGCGACGTGACGACGACGTGGCGTGGCAGGGCGCGAGGCGCGAGGCGGCGACAGCGACGGGCGAGCGGCGCGCGGCGCGGCAGACGGCAGCGGCGACGCGACGGGCGGCCGGCGCGGCGCGGGACGCGAGGCGCGACGGCGATGGCCGAGCGGCGCGCGGCGCGTCAGGCGGCAGCGGCGCGGGACGCGAGGCGGCGACGGGACGATGGCGCGGCGCGGCAGCGCGACGAGACGGCGGCGCGGCGACGCGACGGGACGGCACGCGGCGCGGCAGCGGCGCGGGGCGCGAGGCGCGCACGGTAGGGGAGGGGGAAGGGCTAGGGAACCTCGTCGAGCACCTAGAGTGCAATGAACAGTGCTAGCCTAATTTAACCTTTTCTTTATAAATCCTATCCTTTAATTCCTAATTTTCCACAAATGACGTTTACATAATACTTGTGTTATTTCAATCAAAATATTTACTCTAGATTAATAGTACCCATATTTTATTTTTATATAATTTTTTTCTTTGAAATTAATTAGAATTAATTCTTATTCAATCGCGCTAGAATTCAATTGTTACTAATATGGTCGCGATAATATTTTATTCATTTCCAACATCACCTAATCTTTATTCCAAATTATATTTCAATTATTTATTTTGCTCGTTTAATTTTAGGTTTTCTTCCTAATCAATTATTCTCTATTCGCGATCTATAAACTTCGAAACCAAATTCCAATGAAATGGGCGAATAAAATCGGCATGATGCAATTTATTTAAAAAAAATTTGAAGGCCCATAGTTTTAGAGTTTTGATTTTCGTTGGTCGAATTTTCAGGGTGTTACACCCTGCTTCTGCTTCACCATGGCTTCTACTAGAGAGAACGGAGGAGACAACATCAACGGAGGCAATACGAATGCCTCAACATCTTCTGCACCGTTCTCTGGTATAACATTCTAACTTTATTTGATTTTCTTCTTGTTATTTACATGTTCATAATGTTATCCATAGGACTTCAATCCTATGTGAATATCAATGATGTTTATACTTATTTTACCTTAAGCATGCTCATATGTTATGTTTAGCCTTATCACTAGATTGCTTCTCATTGTGTATGTCATGTTTATTGTCTTAATATTTTGGATTAAAATGTGTCGAATTATGACCAAATTTCTAACAATTTGGGCCTTTGTCTTTCTTCTTAAGTGCCTTTTGGAATGCTATGATTTGACTATATATAATACAGAGGGAGTAAAAAGACAATAAACTTCTACATTAATCGGGAAGAAAAGACTAAAAATCCGTATATTGCTGCATTGCAGACATCTATCAATGCAAAGCGCATGACAGCACACCTTTTTCTCCCTTCAGTCCAGGGAAACAGTTACTCTTAAATCCTGATAAACTGGTAAAAGCACATATCTCTTTTCTCTATCATTTCTACTGCTACAGTTCACTTTCACCCCGGGAAACTTCAAGCATAGCGAGCATTTCAAATCTCATGGTTGGGACAACACAGGAATTTGGACGCACACATGGGGCAGAGGCGCAGAGCTCAATGAGCTAGTAATCCAGCGCCTTTGTGTTTGTTTTACTTATGTGTTGTGTCATTTTCTGCACTGGCACTGGCACTGTTATTGTTTTGTTGTTAGCTTAGCTACCTTTCCAGTGAGGGCATTCTGTAAGCTGTGTGGGTCGTCGGAATTCAGCATTCAGCTACTGCATGCACAAGAAACTTGTGAATGCCAGGCTGCGGACAAGAAAGATCAGATTTGTTTCTTAGTACCGAGAAAAACTTCATCAGAATTCAGAAGAAAACAAATGGGTTTCCAGGATGTCAGCAACTAATTAAGGGCAGAAGACAACATGGGTAATACTCTACTTTGTGTTGGAGTTAATTAAGATTGGAGCATACACGCTGGGCTGAAGCTAACTGACGAGTACCCAACATGTTTGTGCTTAGGAAATAGGAAAGGTATATTGCTCCGCGCACTCGCGTAATACTCCATTTCTCTTTAGATTTTTTTGAGAACCCATTTCTCTTTAGATGATATTGGTTCAAAATTGAACTAACCAGAGTTAAATAGATGCTGGTTTTGAGCTGCACGTGAAAACATATAACACATCTAAGGACAAGGTCAACTGATTCAAATGTGTTCAAAGATGTGATAAGATGACAGCAAGACCATTAGTTAATATTGCTCATTATATCCTTGAAAAAGTGTTCTACTGTGCAATATCAACTTGAGAATTTGAGACACATCCTTAGAAAAAGTAACTTAAAAAGTAACTCAAAGTTTATTCGCATTTGTAAGGAATATTTGCAATAATCTATTATAATTTCTATTAGGAAATGGGCTTAAAATCATCAGTGTGAACTTGAACGCTTGCATCACTAGCTTCCATCTATTGCTAGATTTTCACTTGGTCTTGCTTGACACCTAGGAGGAGGCTAGGACAAACATAGTAGGGCGGAAGAGCTATTATATTTAGCCCCTATCGGTTGGGCATATGCAAGCCGTATGACTATTAGCAAATGAATTTGTTTGTAAAACTTTTGATATATGTTCCTAGCCAATGTTGAAAAATAAGCTTTGATTAAAAAACCTTCAAAATTAAGTTTTAAAATTCAAATTTTGTCGGAGCTGATTTCATATAAGGTAAAATTAACAAGGAGTTAGTGTTGTTTTTCCCCTGAGAAATTTAGTATTTACTCCTACCAATTACCATGGCAAAAATTTGCACTTAATCTAGGAAATTGTTGCACAATATCTGACTAATACCTGGTTCATTTAAACCCTATACTGATTCATTAGTACTGATCGTGTGAGTTATGTAAGATGTCTTAACGGTAATTGCCAGTAGCCCAGTACTACTCAACAACAAAATTATTGACATTAATTCTACGTCTAACATCTCATAGGCATATGAGGTTGTACCATACAGCATCATAACGACATGTGTTTAATTTGCTCCGAGTACCAAAAAAAATTCAGAGATCCAAACAACCATCTGATACCACTATCAGATTAGTGAGCAGAAGCTATTCATCAATCGTCCCTTACCCCTTGCGGCAACAAGACTCCATCCATTCCTCCACTTGCTGAATGGGGACCACCAGCAGGCAGCAGCAGCCAACAGCACTGTACTGCACTTAACTGGTCCACTGGAGACCTGACAAAACACCATAAACATAATTAGACAAATAAAACTGACCTGGAAATCGGCCCCCCAACCTCATCAACCTCACCGCAAATTAAAGCCGTTCTGGAGAATGATTCAGATCGGTATACCGATCCATCTAGCACTCCAATCCTACTTACTTTCCCTACTCCATCCACCCATACATGTAAATACACCCGGCACGGGGACTGACGGGGTGCACTCTGGTGTGCCCACTGCCCACAGCAAGATTCCCTCTCATGCACAGCAGTACGACACATCGCGTAGCACGCAGGGGAGCACGGGAGTGGGTACGATTAGCACTCCTAGCACGGTATCACCACCTCCACCATTGCGCCTCATGGCCCAAGGCGAGGCCGTACCGCGAAATGGCTCGGATCTCTCGGGCCCGCTTGCCCAGTGTCAGTGTTCCACAGATCTGTATACGTTTCCGGGTGGGCATAGGGACGCACGCGGGCGCCACCCCCGGTATTTAATCAGTTTCATCTAAACGCCGCCATTTAATTCCTCATCCGGCGAAGTACTCGCAACCTGCGAGGGCGTGTACCCCGCGTTGCCACTTGTCTCACAGACCGACATGTGGGTCACACCTTTTACGGGACCCACATGTCGGTGACGTGCCGCGTGCGGGTGGGGAGGCGCGAGCGGTGGCCGTGTAGCGGAGTCGCGTGGAGGTCCCAAACCATTGTTGTGCTCTGAGCTCGTCTTCTTCCTCCAAAAAACCGAACAGTGGGCAGTGAGAAGAGAGGAAAGGGCATAGAAAAGTAGGGAGAAAAAGACTGCGATTTCGTGGGAGGAGGAGAGGAGCAACTCCACCGCGCGCGCTTCGCACCGCATTGCATTTTTCCGTTGTACCTGTGCTGCTCCTGGCCTCCACGCGCTGGGCGTTTCTGGCGGCGGCGACGGTTTGGTTTTCTGGGTGGTTTTCCTTTTCAGCTGCGAGCGAATCCCTGATGCTGCAGCTCTCGCTCTCCCTCTCTCCCTGCTGTTGGTTCAAAGGAGTTTCAGAGTTCAGATCAGGAGTTCAGGACGGTGAAGGTGACAGGAGGTTAGTTGGTTTGTTCGTGTGTATAGGTTTGCGTAGTTTATTCTTGTTCTACATGGTGATTTTATTTGTTTAGAACTAGATTAGCTAAAGGTACATGCGTATAAAAGAAAAAGAAAATCTCCCGTCCCGTTCCCGTCGTCGTGTCCGCTCCTTGCGCCAAGACGAGAGGCGCCGATCTCCATCCGGGGAGGAGAGCTGGGGAGGGGAGGGGATCTTGGTGAGCATTCACATTCTCTTTCTGATTCATCTCTCTCCCACCGGGAGTAGTTTTGTCTGGGAATTTGCTTGCGTTAACCCTAGCTTCTCTTCTAGATCTGGAAGAAGCTCTTAACCCTTAATACAGATTGTAACAGTTTTGTTTGTTCCCCCAAAAGTTTGGGGGTTCAACTGAACCCCCCATGTCCCAAGTTGGATCCGCCCCTGGCTTACTCTGCGAGTCACCCCTTTCATTTTCTTCTGCACCAACCAGGCTTGCGCACTTGCACACAACTGTATTTGTGGACACCAAGATCAAACCTTGGGGTGGAGACATCCTTTCATTTAGCATACTGGAGTACTTGTTAAGGGAGAAAAATGATAGGTTTGTAAACAAGTATAAATTTGAGGAAATGCCACAGGAAGGATCATTTTTTTTTGTTAAATTTATTGGGCTTTTCTTGATGCGCCTCCACTTACTATTGAGATTCTACAGGACAGACTGCTCGGCTCCTTGAGTCTATTAGTAGCGGGAATCGCAAGCTGTCCTTGTTTGAGCCATCACATATAGTTCATAATGGAAAATACACCATATGCAGGCTTGCTGCATTTTTAGTGTTGTGTTAATCAGCCTGCTCTCATGTTCATCACTTCATCCTGACCAGCAGCTGTTGGGTCTTTTTTTTTTCTCTCAACTTGTTCCACATAGTTGATAGGCCGAGCACCACCCCTACAATACCAGTGCAGCCTAAGTCAACTAATATATTGGAGAACTGAGTGACATTGTACTAAACCATCTACTTTGAGTGGCGTTGTGCTGATTTTCTATCTGCTCTACATAGAACTAACATAACTTTACAAATGTTCTGTGGATATATGTAGGCATAAAGCACTTCACCTGAGATGATGTAGCAACCTCTCATCTCAACTGATTCTCTATACAGTAATCTTCAAGATGGAACAGATTTCAGTGAGTTAATTCCTTCTGTTCATTGTATTGTTCTTCAAATCAGTTACCTTATGACCAAAAGTCAAAAGTTAAGATTGAGAAATATGCTTCCTTTTTTGTTTTGGACAACTTCTATAGCTTGGGCATCGGTACAAGGAGTGCAGGCCACGAAGAAATAACAGCCCAACCAAAATTCTTGTTGGGAAGGATCTATTGAAGGAATTGGAGCACAGGAGATCGTCACCTAGTGTGATTGCAAAACTGATGGGAATTGATGTATTGCCACCTGCTTATGTAACCCACAATCGGCACCAAGATTTCAAGGACGTCTTTGAAGTGTCAGAGGAACCACAGGAGGCTATCGTGAAAGAGAGGTCCCATCATTTCCCTAAAGGATTGCCAAGCTTGAAACGAAGTGCATTAAAGTTAAAGAAGCTTATGCCATCGATGTCTCCCTATGGCGATGGACCATTCGATAACAATGTAGTGTGCCGAGATGGCTTTGATCGCCTAAACTCGCTAGAGATAAACAATCCTTTGTTTGAGAAGCGCCCCCATGACATGAATTATTCCGCAAAGCATCAATATGAGAAAGAGACTTCAAGTACTTTCAGGAAGTACCCTGCTGGCTTAGGTAATACTTCACTTAAAGATATTAGAAATTCATCAAGAGGAAAGCTTGAAGATTTCAATAGCATTGTTGTTTTGGAGCCAGGCTTAGGGAAAGTCCAAGAGTCGGGGAAAGCCTTTTGTACGCCAGACCCCTCTCACATCAATAAGAATTTCAGGAGAGAGATGCAGCAGGCTGATTTTTCTTTGCAGAATAGAGGGAGGGTTTCACCAAATCTTTTAGACACTGAAGATGTTGATGTGTCTAGAATAAAACGAGAAAGATACTTGAGTAGGAATGCCGTAGATTCACTGTTAGAAGGAAAGGAGTCATCATTTGATCATCATAACGTACCGGATACGAGTAGTTCTGGATCATCTCAGAACTGTGTTAGTGGTGAAGTTAACTCCAGACAAAGCAACAGGCCATCATCAAATAGCTCACCCAGGAAAAACCGTCAGAAGTATGAGGAAGGCAGTGTTGGTTCGAAAACTCTTGCAGAGATGTTTGCCTTATCTGATTCAGAGAGGCTAAAGAGAGATTCCGACTCACATGCGCAGATTCGACACAATAAACTTAACCGGGGCAACAGCAATGGCAAGGAAGGATGCTTCATAGTTTTGCCAAAGCATGCACCTCGATTGCATCCTCACAGTTCATTGGACAAGAATTCCCCTCACAGTAATTTTATCCCAAATACATCAAATACTTACCACAGTGGTCAGTCTCACTTCAACTCTTTCTGCGATATATCAAGACTGCAGCAAATTGGAAGTCCCAGCCAAGATAACTTGAGGAATGCTTGTGCGAAACATCAGACCTTGCGGCAACATAGATCTGCTTCCCCTTCTCATGATAATCGAAACCATTCGCGGTGTTCAACTGACAACTTTTCAACGTTTGACTGCATAAATGAGAAAATATTGTTCACAACAGATGAGGACTTGGTGAAAAAACCTGCTGAAACTGTACATTCTTCATTTGAATCATGTGGGGAAGAAAAGGTCAGTAGGCCCTTATATTAACAACTTCTGTAATTCAAAACAGAAACAGAGTTAATTGAGGAAATTTGCTCAAATGTTGCATACTGTGAACATGAATTTCTAAATGATGCAGTTCTCTACTACAAAGTTAAGAAACTTAAATGTTTCAATTACTGTTCCTGAATCGTATTCTTATTTTATGGTTTTTTGTTTAATGTTTGAGCATTTATTTCTTATATATCTCAAAGTGTTAAGCATTTAAGAAGGTATTCTAATGAGAACCCAGAAATCGAAATTGCTCTTTTCCTTCTTTTTTTGATAATTATATGGAAATAAATCCAGCCTCTAATTGCTCTTTTCCTGATTTTTTTTTCTTTGAAAATAGTAGGTTCTCTTTCTTTAGCCTTTTCTTGAGTCCAGAAGTGTACTGTTCCAGTATGTTAGAGTACCTGGTTTATGTAGTACTAGGATGCTTTACTTTGCCTTCATTTATCAATATAATGACGCACTGGGAGAGAATCAATTTTCATGCATTAGTTTCTGGTGTACCACTCACTCAAGTGTTCCCTTTTTTAGGTTTCAGCATCACCTTTCAATTGCCGTGATTATGAATCAATAACTGTTTCTGATCATAGTTATGTGGCAAAGTCTCATAAAAGCTTGAAAGAGGTTGGGCAACCAAGCCCAGTGTCCATTCTTGAGCCTCCAACTGATGAAGACAGTTGTTGTTCCGGATACTTCAAGTGTAACTTACAAGACATGCCTAGTAAGTGAGACAAACTGGCCCCATTTGGAACACTGGAGTATTCTGTTATTCATAGAGGAATTTACTTGTTTCAAAGAGGTCTGAACTGCATTACCAGCTACCCTAACAATGTAGAAGTTGATACAAATATTTAGGGACAATTGCTTATCTGACCCTATTTCGAAGAATAACTACCAATATGACCCTACTTTTTGTAGTTTGCTTATTTGACCCTGCTTTTCAAAAATGAATCTATTATCTGACCCTATTCCATTAAAGGGAGTTAACGGTGTTAAGTAAGGGGCAAATAGTCCCTTTTGCCCTTGCTTATTTGACCCTTATATCTTGCTTATTTAATTGACACTAAGTCTCCATTTCCACTCTGGCAATCAAAACAAAGAACAAAATCATAATTAAATGTCAATGATATCTTAAAGTAGTGCAATGAGTATATTTAGTTTATAATAAGCCCTCCTGAGCTATTAAAAATGTGAAGCACCATAACCGTGTGCTGTTTTCAAACAAGTAGAATGGGCGGCCTCAACAGGAATAAGATAACATTTCCAATGACTCACATGACCTTCCGATACTGAACCTGTGACATTTCTTTCAGTTCAGCAACAAATTCACCTATGACAGTAAATTCTGTGTCGCCTGCAACAGAACCCTGCCCTTGATAGGGTCTCACTCTCTGCATCATACTAGTTCAGTGCAGATCCCCTTTGACAATTTTGAGGTCTCACAGCGAAATCTATGAAACTTCTGTTTGGTGGCTGGTGGGGTGCAATCGTCCTTCTCCAAATCTTCAAACAAACTAGATCCAGTAAAAGACCTACAGCCCCTGCTCCTACCAAGTACTTTAGAGCTTGATGTATTACGTGTTGAAGATCCCATATCTTTTACAATGTTGGCAAAAGGTTTTGACATTTTCCAAATGCTGCTCAAGGGTAACTGGAGATTCATCACGAAGCCTAGAGTTCACTGATGTATTTGAATCATTGTTGATTTGCATACTAGATCCTGCATACCCAGTAATCTCCTATAGAGTTGCTAAAATATTGCCGCCTCCGCCTCCTCGCACACCGCAGCACCCCAGTGGAGCCCACCGCAGCCTCCAGCTCGCGGAGCTCCTGGGCGTGAGCGCCGCCCACGGCGTGCTACTCCGTGGCGAGGACACGCAAGGCCGCCGGGACGGCGACTAGCCGAACCATCTCGAACCGCGTGCGCCGCGTCTCGACGACGATGGTTGCGAGTCAAGAGAGGCCGGCATCCATGGCGCCGCCGCAAATCGCTCCGTGCCCCGGCGCTGTTGCCGCGCCCTCCCTCCACGAGCCGGCGCTGGCGCGGATCCCTTCCTCTGGGCCCCACCGTCGCCGCCGCCACTCACCAGAAGAGAGACGGGATATGAGAGGAGACCGGATCTGAATGGATAGGGTTTCTTTGAGGGTATTTTGGTCATTATGAAAAGTAAATATATTTATTTTCTTATTTAAAATGAAACCTTAACGGTGCAGTGGAAACAGGGTCAGACGGGATATTCATTTTTGAAAAGCAAGGTCAAAATAAGCAAACTAGAAAAAGTAGGGTCAAATTGGTAGTTAGACTTTAAAATAGGGTTAAATAAGCAATTGTCCCAAATATGCAAATATTTATGAACTCAAGCTAAACCATCACTATAGCACCTGACTGGAGCATCATGCGTAATTAGCATACACTAAAAAGGCATTTGCTGTCTAGCAATCATGACTAGTTAACTAACTAATGGCCGGTTTCTTTTGCAAGTCACTAAGCTAAAAGCTACAAATTTGAAAATTCATCCTTTTAGTCTAACTTTTCAATCATCCAGCTGAAGGCTCAACATGCTATGAAATGTTTATTGCCCTCTAATCAATGAACTTTCAGAGCACTAAACTGATAGTAAAGTTTAGTTAAAAGTTTGAATCAAAACTTTTAAAGTTCTTGTTTGTGTTTCAAAATTTTAAGTTGAGAGTTTCACTTGGAATGTTCAATGCTGGATTAACCATTTAATATTTGGAAATATTCAGATTGAGTCTGCTTAAAATAACTGAATCTTCTGTGTTGACCTCAGATGTCGAGAAACTAATTGATGACTGTGAGCTCCGATATGAACAAGTATCCTTGTCAAGTGATGATGACAGTGGTTCTTCTTACCGGTCTCTGGAAGCTTTTCAGGTTGAGGAGGAAAGGGGCTTCTCGTATCTCCTTGACATGCTTATAAACTCTGGTATGATAGTCGCTGACTCACAGCTCTTGTGCAAGTCATGGCACTCGCCTGGTTGCCCTGTTGGACCTCAGGTCTTCGACAGGCTTGAGAGGAAGTACAATAAGATATCTGCATGGCCAAGACCAGAAAGGAGGCTTCTGTTTGATCTTGCAAATACTGTTCTTTCTGAGATCCTTGCACCATGGAAATCCAGTAGACGGTGTTGTCCTGTTTGGGGCCCTGAAGGGCCTGTTGAGGTGGTTTGGCAAACAATGGTCAGGCGGCAGGAAGAGCTTGCAGTAGGACATCCTGATGACAAAGTTCTTGATCCAGAATGGCTGGAAGTTGGTGAGGACATCAATACGGTGGGAAAGCAGATAGCCAAGATGTTACATGGTGATCTCTTGGATGAAATTATATTGGAGTTCCTCTCAGGATGTGTTGCTTCATGAGGAAAATTAGTTTCTACTTCGTGCTACATCAATACTAACAGTACTCGAGTTCAATGGCATTACTGCAAAGCCAGAGTTTTGCCTGAAGAAACTTGAACCACATTGTTCGGTGCCAGTAACAGCGTTTCAAAGTGCACATATGTTGCCCTTTTCTGGTCCATATGATAGAGGCTCTGTTTGACATTTCATTACACCTTGGGGCCTTAATATACAGGGTCTGAAGGGACAAAAGATGTATGCACATACCTTGACGTGTGTAGAAATGTGATCTTTTAGGATATCTTTGCTTGTTATCGGGGTTTCAAACTGTTCAAAAATCTTAAGGCAAATGTGTAGCACATTTTAGAGTAAACTAACATCTGAAGTCTTGTAATTTGTTCAGTATGTAATCTGCAATCGCAAAATATTTAAACAGGAGAATAGGTGAAGAACTGACGTGTTTTTTCCCCTCATTTTTACCCAAATGAGTTTTTCAGGGTGCTTTGCTGTCATGTTTGATGTAAGTATGGCGAATAGATGTAAAAGCTACGGCACAATGCATAAGTGCACCAAATTGCCAGTAAAAAGCAATTTTTAATCCTGCGTCATTAGCTAGGTTGCATTGATTTGCTACATGATGGGAATTTTTCTTTTACCTTAGGATGTACTACTAACGTATTTTCATGCCTTGTAACTTCACATATATTTGTCCTAGTTTGCGCTGTGTATCTTCTCTAATATTTCGCTCTGGAGTAACCAGGAGTATTTTTTTAGTTGTATTATCGTATTAAGTACTATTTAGTCATTATTTGATTGCTTCATTTTATTTTATCAAATATTAAGGAAGTTGTCACTGTCAATTTGTTGAGAGTAATATGCCGAATGCCTGCTGGTTTTGATGTGGAATCAATACTGGTTGTGATGTTGGCATATGATGCCGAGGACATTTTTGTTTCGATCTACAGATTTAATTTCAGTGATCACTCTTTCACCTGCAGCATCACGACTTTCCTCTGTTTGATCCTAACAATAATATTTTCTCCTAGCCAACTTATAAATAGATAAAACGTTTATATAACAAATAGAGGTGTCAAGTGATTATTGTAGTCCCTTAGTAGAACTCTCTTTGGCAATTGACAAACGGAGATATAACTTTACTAATGGTACAGTATTACATCATTCAATTGTTACATGAGACAGTGCCGCATCAATTTGTTCAACGACCGATCTTTTTTTTTCTAAAAAAGAAAAGTTCTGCAAAAGTAGTAGTCTTTTCTTTTCCTAAAGACCTCTTCAAGTGTCCCTGTATTCGTTAGAGCATCATACACACATGAATAAACAAGGCATAAAAACTTTGGACCTAATCTGCAACAAATTTTTATCAATACCATCGCCCACAACACAACAGTTCAGTAATAACCTACGGAGAAACCAGTAGGTAAAACGTAGCGTGCGTGAAGGTGCAGCACCTAACGACGCTTACGCTAATTTACGACCCTTGCCACGGCATAGTGCGGACAAACAAATCACAAAATTGATGGCCCAACGACGGAGAGCTTAGCTTAATTTGCTCCAAACCCCTCGCCGCTGTTCACATCACATCGTCTCGCCAATGCAGAAGTCAAGATGCTTAGAATAGATCGACCGCTTCGTGTGAACGACCACCACTAATATCTCGCTGATCACCAAACAAATATATAATTATGAGCATCCAATTTTCCTTCGCAAAATGCCAATAATCTCGAGAGAGAATTCTCGCAAGGGGGACAAGTTGTCACACGTGACACGTACTCATACGCGTACAGGAAAACGCTGTACCCGCCGTGTGATCTGCGAGAATTATGCAGTAATCCGCTCATGTGTGCGCGTACGGCGTACTGGCATGGCCGGCTCACCGGCTGTCTGGCTGGCTGCAGGAGCAGATTAAGCTTAGACGAAACCGGTAATTTAATCCCAAAAACCGGGCATCATTTGCGTGTGCTTAAACCAGCTAATTAACTTGCGGCGGCGTCGGTGAGTCCGCCCGCGAGGCCAAACCAGCACGAAACCTCATAAACAACAGCTAAGCTCTCGGGCACATGTGCGTACATATATATGCATACACACACGCGTTGCGATCCAAGAGAAAAGGTTTTCGAAGTCGTTGAGGTCTTTGAGAAAAAAACAAACCACACAAGTCAAATTATATAACTTGTGTAGCAGTATAATACTACTACGATGGCATCGTCTATCGATCTATCTCTCTCTCTCTCTCTCTCTCTCTCTCTCTCTCTCTCTCTCTCTCTCTCTCTCTCTGCCTGCTGCTGGTGGTCGCGACCGACAGAAACTGAAGAGAGAAGGGGGGAAAAATTCTGCAGCGAGAGAAGCTGCGAAAGGAACGTTTCTCTTAACGTGTTGCATGGCCAGCCGGACTGTTTCACTTTCTATTTTCTTCTTTAATTTTGGGCAGATGGAAAAAGGACGAACTGGTTGGTGCATCCATGTGCTTTATCGGAATTGACCTCACACAGGTCACTACCCAGTGGGGCCGGCCTACAGTGCCTGAATCCTAAAACACGGCTAAGCGTAGGGCCGTATGGGTGAATGAATTCGATCCGTGGAAATTATATGTTGTTGCGTTTGTTCTTTGGTTATTTGTTTGTTGGCTCGGTTCTTTTCTTGTGGCTCTTTTTGGGTGAAAAGTGGCTGTTTAGGTGATGGGTTCCATCCTAACCAATTACTTGCTTCGTTTCCAAGACACAGCAATGGAGCATCGGGTGTGTGATATGACTATATTGAGTATTGACCTATGGATTGAGTTATTGAGGGAAAGAACCGGTGCTCGTTTGAGCCTGATTAAAATGGCACGCATACCCGCAAAAAATAAATTTGTTGTATTTATGGCATTTTCACTTTGTTGAAACTTTGGTATTGCTAAAATGGGTACGTCAAACTAACAAACAAGTGATCGTAGTACTGATAAGGTTTATTGTGGTGGAACATATCCATCCGGATTTAAGTTCTAGACTTACATGGCTGCTCATATTTATAGCTCATTATTCTTTCAATGGACGGCAGACTGACTGACTACATGTGGATGTCCGAACAACACTTTCTGCGCGCTTTGTAGACATACTCGGGAAACGGTGTTCCACCTCCTAGTAAACCTCAGATACTCTAGGAGGATTTAGGAGAATCTGGCATCCTGGACGTCGCAAGAGCACGTCAAATCGGGCAATTGGGCTCAGCCTATGTCGCCCCAAGACTGGTGGACTGTAATAGCAACACACCCAGGGACACCGAGAAAAGGAATTTGCACCCTTTTGTTGCTAGTGACATGGGAGATTTGAAAAGAGAGAAATCAAAGAATTTTCCAACCCAGTGAACTCTCAACACTATCGCTCTGCGCAAAGATAAAGGAGGAGACCAAGACCTGGACCCTAGCCATCACAAAAAGGCTATCCGAGATAAACCCTTAATTTTTTTCTCCTTTTCCTATGTAAATTTCCAAAGTTTTAGCTTTGTACAGTTTTTTCCCACTATATTCAATGAAATGGGCACAGTCTGGTGCCGATTCGTTAAAAAAAAGTATATACTCCATCCGCCATGTCACATTTGTATTAGGGTGTACTCATATTAGGATGGAGAGAATATATAGGAATACATGTAGAGTAGATAAGGATTGAGTCCACACAAATTAATCATATCTCAATATATATCTAACTACCATATAATCTAACGGTGGTGACTCCGTTAATTTTAAAATGTATCATTCTAATCGTTAGAGGTCAAAAATGGGCAAGTTAAAGCAAGTTTAGGTGGTGTTCAATTTCAAACCAAATTTTAGTTGAGTTTTGAGTGTGAACTTATAGAACTCAAGCTATGCAGAAACAGTTTTCAGAGATGCTCATAGTATATCAATCTAGTCTTTGAAGGTTAAAAAAAAAGGTAAAAGGGAGGTTGGTTGGTGTTTAATTCAAATCAAATGTTAGTTGAGTTTTAGAGTGGGAACTTCTAAATTTACCAAAAATAAAAATTGAAGATGTTTTTCCAGTATTTTTGTACGTCATCCGTATTTGAGTCGGTTTTTAAGCATTCGCTTTTGAAAATACATATATGTGTTTGAGTTGGATTTTAAGCTTGTTTCCTTTTGGAAGTATAAAAGGAGTCGTATAAGAAATCTTTTGAAAAAACTCGCATGCTAACTTGAGATAAAATACAGACTTCTTATTGCAGCTCATGATTTTCTGAAAAAAAAATCCAAGCGAATTCCTATAGTGAATTTTACCCTAACTAAACTGTATAACAATAATAAAATTACAATAGCATTTACCCGTTGCAATGCATGTGTATTTTTTTATAGTTTACCCAAAATTGATAAGTTTGAAAATAGCAACAAAGTGAATAAATCCTACAATACCAAAGTCAATCCGGTCCCGATATATGCACAAGTTTCTAACGGAGAAGATTCACACGGGTGAGTTTTCAATAGTGAGTCCAGAAATTTGATTCGCAGTGGTTTTTATCTCTTTAAACGTGTGGTAGGGACATATGCGTGAATGTGTGAGCGTCCGACATGTAATCACAAAAGATTCTTACAACTCAATAGTGAGGCATACTACGAACAATAAATAAACAAAACAAGCTAGAGACCCATCCTGTCGCGCTAAATTAAGCACGAGATTAATAGCTTTCACCTAAATATAACCGCACGTGCCGCTTAAACCAAGACCGACTGCCAGTCCGGGCCCACTTGCTCAGAACATCTCCAATTCACCAGCACCCAGGAGGAGTCGGTGGCTGCCAATCACCTTCTTCGAACGAACGCCACGACAGAACAGATCGAGTTCGAACGCTCTGACTTTCTGACGCCGTGGCAGGCATGCAGGTGCAGCTTCGGGGCTTCGGCGGCGGCTGTTTTGTGAGGTCAGATGAGCGAGAACAGCTGCCCACCGCGATCTCTGCCCGGTGTCGTGTTGCTCTCACCGGAATTGAATAGGAGTAGCTCGGTGACGCGCGCGTACGTACGCGCGCCAGCCACCACCAACTGGAACCCATCACCCCGGCCCGCGCCGGAAAAAGACCGAGCGCCGCATGCAACTCAACGCGCAACCACCGAGCGCCAGAGAGAGAGGCTTCTCGATTCCACTACCCGCGATGGCCCAAGCGAACCGCCCGGCGCCCGTCAGCGCGGCAGCTTAGGGTGTGTTTGGTTCACGGTCATGCATAAACGGGATATGACCATCTATATTTTATATTTTGTTGGATATGACGATCCAGTTTTTTGTTTGGTTTGTATAGATATGACAATCCAATTTTTTATTTGATTGGAGGGATATAGCATGGATGGAAAAAGCCAAAAGTTAGTGCGACCCATTTGTCATATATATTTTTTTATCAAAATATAATCATCTGAGATCTTGTTTTAAAGATTTAATTGTAACAAATATAATGGTGTAATCAATCATAAATTAGATAAACGGTTTAGGAGAAAAAGTCATTTGGAGCTTACTTAACAGAAAATCAAACCAACCACAGCCAATCAGAACAGGACACATCACCCAGACCAAAACTGGATGGCTTCATCCAGCCAAATCGGCCGGATGCACTCATCCAGCATATAGAGAGAATATTCCCTATTCTGGGCCGCCCCATTCATCCTGCCCTCCAACCAAACAACACAGAAAAATCAAGCGGCCATCTCCCATCCAGATTCATCCACCCAACCAAACACACTGGTGTGGCCGCCACTGCAGTCTGTAGTAATAAACGCACCAAAGTACCAAACGCTGGACCCACGCAACGCTAGTGTGCAGGGTAAACACACACAGGTCGAGAAAACGGACTACTCCTAAATGTGTGCACCGCACAGTGGTCGACCGATCGATCGATCCCGAGTCCCGACGTTTTTTTTGTGCTCGGTGGAGCACTCCGGGGAGCGAGGGGACATGAATGGCACCCCACTAGCCATTCATTCAACCCGAGCCAACTGGGAACACCACGCGGCGAGTCCACCGCGACGACACACACGTACTGATACCAATATAGTAGATACGATATTCTACTCCTCCTACCACCACTATTGCTGTTTACTATACGGGTTACGGGTACAAAGTACAAGCACGCAGCCGATCGTGTGTGCGTGCGCGAGTCATTAGTGCGTCACTAGCTCGAGCGCCACCTAATGATTGCTGCGTCCCGGGAAAAGAGGGGCAAAAGCGTACGTGACAACCAACGAGCCAGATCGCCTTCCGCTCTCTCGCGCGCGGTCGCGCCGCGCGCCGCTCGCTCGCTCGCCACCTCCCGCCCTTTTTAAACCCACCACCACTCGCAATTTCGCCTCCCCACCACCACCAACGCCAACACCACCGCCGCCGCTCCCCCGCCTAACACGGCCACGCGCGCTCAGGTGAGCAGCGGAGCTAGCTTACCTCGCTACGGCACGGTGCGACGCGAGACGCCGCGCCACGCGTTGTTTCAGGGAGGAGTACTACTGCAAGCAGGGCGGCGGCGCCGGAGGAAGGGAGGCGGTGGGGGGGGGGGGGGGTCGTCTCTTGGGCGATGGGTTCGTCCACGGACCACGGCGGCGCCGGCGGGAGGGGCAAGAAGGGGTCGGGGTCGCAGCTGTGGAAGAAGGCGCTGCTGCATTCCAGCCTGTGCTTCGTCATGGGCTTCTTCACGGGGTTCGCGCCGTCGTCCGTGTCGGACTGGACGTCCGCGGCCGTGTCGGCGGGCGGGGTGGGGAGCAGCCACGTGGTGAGGTCGCTGCACGCCACGGGCGGGGCGGCCGTCAACCGGAGCCTTCTGGCGCAGGCCGCCGCCGGCGCGGTGGACGCCGGGCCGCAGCCGCTGCTGGTGGTGGTCACGACGACGGAGTCGACGCCCTCGGCGGCCGGGCAGCGCGCGGCGGCGCTGACGAGGATGGCGCACACGCTGCGGCTGGTGCCGCCGCCGTTGCTGTGGGTGGTGGTGGAGGCCAACCCGGACGTGGCGGCCACCGCGCGGCTGCTCCGCACCACGGGGCTCATGTACCGCCACCTGACGTACAAGGACAACTTCACCGTCGCCGACGCCGCCGCGGGCAAGGAGCGCCACCACCAGCGCAACGTCGCGCTCGGACACATCGAGCACCACCGCCTCGCCGGCGTCGTCCTCTTCGCCGGCCTCGGTGACACGTTCGACCTCCGCTTCTTCGACCAGCTCCGGCAGATCAGGTAACCATCCAAACCACCCCCAAAGTAAAAAAACAATTCTCTCTCTCGCAATCTTTCGCCGAGTTAAACAATGCAAAGTTCTCTTCTTTAACCATCTCTCCTGATGCAAGCAAGTAGCGCGCACACACTAAACGCTAGCCAGTAAACAACGTTAGCGCCCAAAGCACACAAGCGAGGCTACTTGCAAGCAACTTTGTCAGGTTGCCTTGGCAGCTACAGCTCATGCACCACCTGGTGGTCGCTGCGCCGCGCTAGTTTAACCGGCGAGGAGAATCCAAGCCATGTGACGCGAGGAGGTCGCGCTCCCCCCGCATCCGCCATTCCATGGTCCTTTTTTTTTTCCTTCTTTTATCCTCCCTGCCGCGCCTGCCAGATCTTAGGGACGAAAGGCAAAGCAGGCAGCCTGGACCGCTGAAGCAGCAGCAGTTCTCTGCTTTGGTTTCTTGCAGCCGCTCATTTTTTCCTTTTGGGGCCATGTTTTTACTGATACTAGTACTAGTACAAGTTTAGAACTGACTGCTGCTGCTGCTACTATCATGTGTACTCAGCCAATAGCATTAAGTTGGTGTGGCGCCGCCGTGGCGGTGTTTAGCGTAGCAGATGTCCAAATGTGTCGGCAGAAATGATTGGCACCCCTCAACTAACGGAAGAGGGGAGGCCGTCGCGGCTGTCCTTTCTCCAGGACCCCGAGGCGATAGCACAATGCGTGGTCGGTCGCTGGCTGATGCTGCATAAGCCGTCCCTGCAGATTGGGCTCGCGTGTTCGTACTACTGTCAACTTGAATCACGAGTTCAGCAGCAGCAGCAGCGAGCGTGCGTGCGTCGATCTCTGCAAGTTGCGGGCCGTTGCATGAGCCGCAGGGCGAATCTGCGTATGGTTTTCTTTGTTCGGTTTGCTGGGAGGGAAAAGGGAAGGCGGTCTCAGTACGTGCACGGGGCTCTTGCTGCTGCATCCTGCAGGGATGTGTGGCTGGCTGGCGCATAATACATCGCCAGTGATTTTCAGCGGATCGTGTTAGGTTCGTTTTGGTACGTGATAGGGCAGTTTCATCAACCAATGCGGCGCTCTGGATTGTGTTAGGTTCATTTGGCTCGTGACAGGGTAGTCTCATCAACCACTTCGGTGTTCTTGAAGATTGTTCAGTTAGTGGTACCCTTTTCAAGATGAGGTTTAGGTAATTAGGTAAAAAAAATCTGAATCTTAATCAGAAAAGAACAAACCCTTAAATTTCAGCATTCCTAACGCTACAGAAATTCTGAATTGAGCGTATTTAACTTAGCTTTGGCCCCTCCGTTTATGTTTTTTCCTTTTCCTATCCGTGCCACATAGTACTACTTAATTAGGTGCTATCATGCTAACCAGTTAGTGCCCTTCGCCGTTTCTTCAAAATGCAGCTCGATCGAAAACTAACTCATGACAGTTGAACAATCGAGTAATCGATTTCGCGACATTCTAGTCCGCAGGGGCCTGCGTTATCGTAACGGCAACGTGACATCGACAGTTGAGGACGCTCGAGTTTACGACATTTTAGCTGCATGCTGCATGGCCCGCATCCATAAGAGCAAGGATAATAATAGAGCCGACTTCATGCTATTAGCCAATCTTAAAGCCAACACATATAATAGATTAGTTATAAGGTTGGCTACAATTTTCTTCTCCTCTCTCTATCTCTCACTTATACATTAATTGTATTTGTCTAGGAGCTTATGTTAAGCTAGCTCTTGCATGAGAGCCAACACCCTTAACTTTTTGTCACATCTCTCCTCCATATAAGTTTATAGTAGGCTTATAGCTCACTATTATACTTGCTCTAATGTTATTCTACTGTAGTACTAGGAGTAATACCGTTTCCTAACCCCGAGAATTATGTTTTTTCCACAGGACATTCGGCGCGTGGCCGGTGGCAACGATGTCGCAGAACGAGAGGAAGGTGGTCGTCCAGGGCCCAGCGTGCAGCTCCTCCAGCGTCGCTGGCTGGTTCTCCATGGACCTCAGCAACGCCACCTCCCCCGTCGCCGTCGGCGGCGCCGGCTACGGCGCCGCCGCGGCGAGGCCACGCGAGCTGGACGTCCACGGCTTCGCGTTCAACAGCTCGGTGCTCTGGGACCCCGAGCGGTGGGGCCGGTACCCGACCTCCGAGCCCGACAAGTCCCAGGTCAGTTCCACCCCGTCACCTTTCACGCGTACCAAACTTATTAGAGAGCCCCAAATCACGCAAGTTTTACGTGTTACTACCGCTCGGGTGATCGATCGATCGGTCGGCGTCGCCCACGACCAGAAGCGGCAAGAATTCACCTCGCCTTTCGCGCGGCCAGAGGCAGGAAAGAAATGCTGTTCGCTAGCGATGTCGCGGTGTTTTTTTTTTTTTTGGGGGGGGGGGGGGTTCAAGATTGAATGAGGCATTTCCGCCACGAAAGTGGCGTTTCGCCGTGTCGGTTTGCGCGTTCGGCGTCGCGCGTCTCTGCTCGGGCATGTGGTACAGGTAGGGGACGGGAAATTGGCCGTGTCTTTTGGCCCATCTGTCCCTAACTAACTTTTTTTTCTCCCCGGTCAAATCCTTGTCACCTGTCAAGTCTCAACCTGATTTTTCTGCATTAAAAAGATCACACTCTAGCTAAATGGCTGAATGGCAATGGCGCTAGGTGATCATTTCTCCAACAGAGAGAGAGAGAGAGAGAGAGAGAGAGAGATTGTTTATTCTGCAGCAATCGACAAAAAAACGGATCGAATCTTGAGCGGCATTTTTGCAAATGCGTAATCGTGGGTTTAGTCTGATCTGGTGCTAATTTGGTGGGAGAGGGTAAGGAAGAGGGGGGGGGGGGTCCCGTGGCTGAGTAGGATAGTGTACGGCTTTGATGAAGTCCAGTGCAAGGCAAGCCCCAGCGGGTGGTTAGCAGTAGTAGAGCAGTACAGTGGCCCTTGTTTTTAATGAGAAAACACACCTTCTTTTAGGTGTACAATCGATTGTTCATCTTATTACTTGAACCTAACCACTAAAGCAAGCACCTCTTTCGTTATGAGATCAATCATGCAAGGTTGTTAGAGCTTCTTTCTCTGCATTGCTCATTGCTTCCTCTGATGCCAAAATGTCTACCCATTTTTCTTGATTGTGCTGCATGATGAACCGTTGCCCTAACATGTTTTTGGTGCCATTGTTTTATCAGGACTCGGTGAAGTTCGTACAGCAAGTGGTCCTTGAAGATTATAGCAAAGTGAGAGGAATTCCTTCAGACTGTTCAGAGGTTATGGTATGGCATGTCAACACGACGCCGCTACCTTCTTCGCAACCGTCTCCTCAGAACAAGAGGTGATAGAACGATGAGCTGTAGAAGAGACTGGACGAGCCGGAGGAGAGGAGGGTGTACATTGTACATGCATGGTTACAACTTGAAGCTGCTGATTTCCTACTAGCTGCAAAGAAGGAAAAAATTTTGGTTTTCTTTCCAAGGGATTGATTAATCTCCCATGGGCGATATCATCATAATGTACATTTTTTTTACTATTCTTTGAAAATTGTGATATATGTATAATCTCTTCTCTGTTTTTTTTTTTTGCTTCAAGAGGGTTTAGGTGATTACACACAACAACCCCTCGGAGTGTCTCTCTTGAGACTAAAATGAATAGTTCAAAAATCCACTTACAATGAAAAAGGACCGTGCTTTCTTCTTATTACTGTTCTTTCCTCTTCAGAAGTTACCACAGGTCCACAGCTATCCAGTTTGCCAAGGGAAAAAAAACCTTCATGCTTGGGACAATTGTACAGACATGCTTCAGAAACACACAAACACATGAGGCCGTGTTCTTGGTGGTCCCTGAACATATTCATTAAGAGCAAGGGTCTTGAGTACGTTCATCGTAGTTGGCATGTCGCAATCGTGCGCGGAATTAAATGAGGCCTGATTTTTTTTCTTCAGGCAATGAAAATGCAGTGGAGTAGACAACTGCCTTTTGGAAAAGGCAAAGCTTCGAACAGTCTCTCAGCAATTAGAAGCGACCTGGCGATCAGCGTTAGCCATTATGTAAGTACGTGGTCGTGTAGGGTTTTCTCGCGATAATCTGCAGGTGTTTTGAGGCACGACTTTCTAGCTACTAGTACTCCTTTTTGCCGGCACTGTTTGTCATTTGTACTCGTAGATTCCTGTGCCAACGTTTGACTGTTCGTCTTATATGAAATTTTTTTATAATTAGTATTTTCATTGTTGTTAGACGATAAAACATGATTAATACTTTATGCGTGACTTATCTTTTTAATTTTTTTTAAATAAGACGAACGGTCAAACATTGAACACGAAAATATGGTTTGTCTTTTTTTGGGACGGAGGGAGTACGAGCTTTGCTGCTGCTATGCTTTCGATCTGCAGTAACGAGCTGCTACGGGCATGTGCATCGGTGCATGGTCATGTCAGGAGCAAGCTCGACAGGTAACTGAACGACGATAGATACGTAGGAGTATTTATCAGCAAATATTCAGAGAAAACAAAAAACTGCTTGCTTCCCGGGAATATGCATCACCTGGCAAGATTTACTTCTCATCTCGTTCCCCGGGGAATTTGTTTCCTGAACATGATCGATTCTGTTCTGAAGTCTGAATCTAAGTTTCAGAAATAAAATTCTGAATCTCTACACCTGTCCACTAATCTACACCGGACTTCTGCCTGTATATTACAGTTACAGCATAGTCTATCGCAGCGGTTGCTGCCTACTATTCCCTCCGTTTCACAACGCTGTCTAGATTCATTAACATCAATATGAATGTGAAAAATACTAGAATGACTTACATTGTAAAACGGAGGAAGTACATCTTTAAATACTGTCTTCACTTTTGAGCTCCGGCAAAATTTCGATGCTTTAGAGTTCAGACTGGGTTGTGTTTTATCGGCAATGGAATGTGATTCCGAAGCACTGTAGCAGTTTTACTCTAGTTTGCTATTGATTCTATTCTTAGTACTTAATGCTAGTGATTTACTAAACGGCTCACATTGTCGGCGCTACAATGTCATGCTATTGTTAGAACACAGCATCCTTTTTTTCTGCTTTCACTTGTTATTTTTGCTGAACAAAAAAGGAAATCAAATCTCAGCTTATATCGAAGTGATTTTCCCCAGACTGAACCTGAAACTTTGATCTGCCTCATCCATGACCACGCATCTCACTACATTTATGGTGGACGATTTCTCTCTGGTGATTTTTGTTAAACAAGAACATGGGATTATGGTGCAGAACGGAGGACAGGGGAAACAAAGAAAGCATGCCAACGAAGTAGCGATAGCAATATATCATTACACAGTACTCGTGCAAACTTAGACATTGAAAAAATCACAAACTCACGCACTACAGTCCGTCCATAAACGATGGCCGACGTCGACGGATCGAGAATGGTCGTGCCTAAGCTTGTGTTATGTGTTGCAATGGTTCGTCGTGGGGTTAAAGGTTTACGCGTTTACTGCCAAGTAGAGAGAAACAATTTAGCGTTAAGATGAACGTATAAGCAATATACGCAGCACGTATTTCTTTCTGGACTCCCAAGTCCCAACCAATTGTGAGGCAATCAGGAATGGCATGGAATGCAACTTCTATGATGCCTTCTTCTTTTTTTTTAAAAAAAAAGGCGCTTTTTCCATGAACTCTTCTTTATAGTATAGCATGCTGTAATTGAATGCAGTATGAAGCAGAAAATTACATAGTTTCATGCGACTCATGCAGTGGTTAACATTCTACTAAACGCCAGGAGGAAGTACAAGCTCACTATATCAAAAAGTTTAAGCATGTCAAACAGTACTACATTGTTGCTTAACTGTGGTAGGATGGAACACTTGAGCTCCAGTTCAACTGTCCTGAAGCTTGGCTTCCCCAGCTTTCTCGGCTTCATCCGAAACAAAATTCTTCAGTGACTCCACATTTCTTGGGCCTGCAGTAGCACAAAAGATCACAAGGATTTCCTTTAGGAGGCATCTAACGTTAACAACAGAAATCAGCGAGCAGGTGGGTGGTCAGATGAAGGACAGACAGAAGTTGCCCCTCAAAGCTGCAGTAACAAAGCATAAAGCTACAAAAGATAGGGTGAAACAGCGATGAAAAAGATGACAATATATTCAATCTGCATTTTAGTACGCACATAACTGTCAGAAAAAAACTTGCATATTTTCTGAAGTACAAACAGTTAGCAGAAGATCAAGCTCTAAGTTGTGAATTGCAGTGATAGGTATCAGAATGAGTAACATTCCAATGTTCACAAGATAGGGAATGGCAGGAAAAGACAGAGATACTAGAGCACATGCATAGTTTCCTAGAGCTAGAGGTAATGTATGCTCTTCATGCCGTACAATTGTAGGATACAATCAGTATCCTGGCATGCTTCAACTATAACAAGTCATGTCATGAGCAGAAAATCATAAACAAAACAATATAACGAGTTCAAGCAACGGAAAAATATAAAGAGGAGAATCAAGTGCTGGCAGATACTAGAAATAATCAAATGTTTTCATCAGCAGATTTGGCAGAATCTTCACAGAAGATGCTACTTGCTACTCCAAAAATGGCACTTGAGAAACAAACACTAGGGTCTTCGATTTTTTTTTTTGTGGGGCTTGGCATTATCACAATTCTATTAGTTGAAATGGTTTGTAGTCTTTAATTCAGACTGCAGGGGGATATGGCTTCCAACACATGGCCTAAACCTCAAGAGAATTGGAGAAAATCTAACAGATCCAAACATACCTTTCTCTTTTTCAATTTTCATTGTAGACTAGAAAGTTGAAACTAGATTAAGCTGACCTTTCCACACAATAGCAAGATAGAATAATTTGCATCATAAACGAAGATTACCTTTATATTTTGCAACCTCTTCACCTTCATAAAACACCTTGAATGTGGGGTACGAATGGATATCCACCTTTGAGCATACTGGTTTGCTAACACCACAGTCCACTTGCCCTATCTCTATTTCATCCGCACCTTCCATAACCTTTCCCAAGTCCTCCCAAAGTGTTCCAAGGTTCTTACTGCAAATGACAAGCATCTAACAAATTAGCTTAAGCCATTAATGACAAGATTTATACGGTAATTCAATATTCATCATGGAGCTAAGAGTGAGATTTACCAGTGTTTGCACCATGGAACGCAGAACTTCACAAACCATACCGTGTCTTTCTCCTTTATCTAAAAATGAGAGGATTGCTCATGATCAAACTGGCTTAGTTGGAACAAATACAAGCATCACGCCACAACGGTGAACGACTTGCAAAAACATAGGAACACGAGCAGTGGCTCTCTATGACCCTTTTTTTTTACTAGTATCAAACATGCAACCTGGAAAGCAATGGTATCTATTCTCCACAAACTAACAAGACAAAAGTTTACACTGTGACCCGATTCTAAATTCCCAATCCGTGATTGAAACCGGATAATTAAAACCCCGACGCTCATATAATCCATCATTCCAATGATTCCATCCCAGAGGCGAAGTAACACTGACGCGCAGGCGCCCATCAAACTTGAATTGTCAATAGATCTGCAATACAACAGCTACAGGTCTGAAACCAAGCATCGCCGCTATAGTACGAAGTGCTCCGGAATCTATTACATAATTCTACAACAAAGCAAGCCCGTACTGACCTGGACTCTCCTAGCTCGATCAACCTCAGTGATCTACAGAACAAAACAGCATCGTCGCCGGTGGGGAAGGCGGGAGACGAGAGAGAGAGAGAGGAGAGAGGAGCACACCTTGTCGGAGAAGGTCTCCTCGGTGAGGGTGATGACCTCGGCGCCGGATCGCGCGGCTAGGGCCACGAGGACGACGAGGGCCAGCGCCACCAGCAGTCGCGCGCGGCGGCCGGGAGCCAGATCCATGGCTCCAATGGCGGGGGACGGCGAGGCGGCGGCGACGACGACGACGAGAGAGGGGGGATGCGTGGGGGTGTGGGTCCCGTCTGTCGATGTAGTCTTCTACTTGGGCCGGGCCATTCGGAATGACGTGGGGCCCGCGTTGGTTGGGCTGGCCCGGAACGGGATTACGGGGTGCGTGCGGCCCGTACTATTGGGCCCAGAAAGCGATTGCAGGCTGACGTGAGGCCCATATAGGTAAAATTCACCCTTGAACTTTCGCAACAATTAGAAAGTTTTTGAAGGACTAGCAAAATACCTTCCTTTGCTATGAATAAAATAAAATATATTATAATATGTAATGGATATTAAAATATTATTGAATATATTAGTATCACTTGTTTAGTTGTTTGAACCGAATATTTGAACTATTTCATAATATCAGAAGATATCAGGAGCTAATTTCTAAAAAAGTAAAAAACAATAGTGGATGCCAGATTCAGTGCCACCACCACTGGGGACTTTTAAAGAGTATAGAGTACTCCCTTCGTCCCAAAATAAGTGCAGTTTTAGCACTATTTATGTTCAACGTTTAACCGTTCGTCTTATTTAAAAAAATTATGATTAATATTTTTATTATTATTAGATGATAAAATATGAATAGTATTTTATGTGTGACTATTTTTTTTAATATTTTTCATAAATTTTTCAAATAAGATGGATGGTCAAAGCGCTAAACATGGATATTTATGGCTGTACTTATTTTAGGACGGATGTAGTAGTACATTTGGAGACGTGTCACAAATTTCCATACCTCCATTAACTGTTTAAAAAGTTTGTTGGGATTGTAGATTCAGTTTAATCTTTGTTAACGTACTGTAATAACATTCTCTATGATCACTATGTATATAAAAAGGATATCTCTTTCGACATTGTTGTTGTACACTTGTACTGGCTGCGAAGTTCTATTGTTGCCACAGCAAGGTCAACTAAAACTGACAAATCAGCATTGTTGCATCAGGCCTAGTGTTGAATGTTACAAGAAATGTTTCTTGTAAGCAGTCTCTGTAATTATTATTTGTTGGGAGTTCTTAACTGTGATCTATGCGCCCTGCTTGAGACAGGCATATGCCTCCAAACTGAAATAATATATACTTGATAGAAACGATTGTTCAGAAATGACATGAACAATGAGCATTTCTGTATATTTATGAGTAATCAAGAGTTCAAGGCTGCATCTACAAACATCATTCATGCAAATTGTCAACTTCCCATACCTTTCCAAACTACACCTCGCACATACTCGGTTTCAAAAAAGACACCTCACACATACAAAACATTTTATACAGCCTGCACGTTGGAGGGGAAACTAAGATGACACAATGAAAGTACTTCTATTCATTTTCTTATAAGTAGTACTTCCATTCATAAATACTCTCTTTCAGAAATAAAATAGTAACAACTAGATGTCATTGAATTATTCCATATGTACAGATTGCACGTTGTCTAAAGTATGACAAAAGAAAAAAAAAGTATGCCAAAAGATATTGATAAAGTGATTATTTATCTACTATACAAGAGTATTTTAGATATTATCTGAAAGCTATTTTCTTTGCCGGCCATGTTATCTGAAAGCTTGTTGCTTTAAGGCAAGAAGAAGGCCTATTTCTTTGCAGGTAGGCAGTTGCAGAAGTCATAGATATAAAATGACGTCAAATATATTCCCTTACTAGATCTTCTATATATCTTAATTAACGTTGCTGGTGTACTGAGAACAAGGGAAGAGAAGTCAATTACGCATTGGTACATTAGCATAAAGCAACCGCATTTTTATACACAGACGTGCAGAACTCTCTTCAGAATAAGTTCGCCAGAAAAGGAGTTTTAGGAGTGTAATCTATTACTCTTAGGCCTCAAATTCACAATAGATAATTTATTCACTGAAAATTTTAGTTTTGGCCATTGTGTCATTCAGTTATTGTTACTTTCAGTTGTTCTAACATTTGAGCTAAACTAAGAAAAATCTTGTGCCATTTTAACCCCAACTCTCACGATCGGTTGGGATTAAGTATAATCATTTATGTGGCCAATGATAAATAACATTATCAGAACCAAAAGCTCTAAAGAAATTTTCTCTGTCAATAGATGATTCCATCACCAGAAATGGCCATAGGAGGAGCAATAATCTGCAGCGACTAATTCGAGGCAGCGTATAGCATCGTGGCACGCAGAAGCTTGGGGATACACTCTTCTTTGCCTCCGTCCAGTCCTATAAATGGTGGAGTCAGGGTGGAAGGCTATGCATTGTGCTCATCATCTCAAAGCCCTTCATCTCCTTGTCATCTTGAGTTGCTTGAGCTTATAGATTTCGACAAGATGTCTTGCAGCTGTGGATCAAGCTGTGGCTGCGGCTCGAACTGCACGTGCGGGTATGCTTAGCTTTAATGGTTTCTTGCAAATAGCATGCGCATGATCGGCAACTATCTTCTCCTTTCTTTTCACTTCTCTGTCTTCTTTTTACACATGAAACCTGTTTATTTATGTAATTGTATGAGTCAGTTTACACGCATGGTTTCTTGCGTTAACTTTTGTTATAAGATAAAGAAAATGAATAGAAATCCGGCTTCTATATCCAAGTGGATATACACAGCTAACAATTACAAAAAAATTTAAATCTTTTTCGATGACCTTATGCAACAATAACCCGGTAATCGCCCGTCTACTTACAACCTTTTGATGTCGGGATCATCCCACTAGATGCTAATTAATTGATTTGATTTTGTGGCCGGTTGCAGAAAGATGTACCCTGACCTGGAAGAGAAGAGCAGCAGCGCCCAGGCCACCGTCGTGCTCGGCGTCGCGCCGGAGAAGGCGCACTTCGAGGCGGCCGCCGAGTCCGGCGAGACCGCCCACGGCTGCGGCTGCGGCTCCAGCTGCAAGTGCAACCCTTGCAACTGCTAAGAAGCCATTTATTTGGCTATTATCATCTGTGTGATCGTGTGTCCGTGCGTGTGATGAATGAATAATAAAGGAGCCATATCTGCTCTGGCATATGCATAGTGCATATGCAGTTTGTGTGATCAATCTGCTGTTTCTGTCCCTGTGCTGATACGCACACGTAGCTCCTGAAACTGTCTGGTATATTAATTTACTGGTGTGTTTGTGTGGGTGGGTGTGATCGTATCTGTATCATATCAAACCATGCATGTATCTATCTAGTACCTATAGCTTGCTGGTTCACGAGCTGCTATTTTGTTTGTCTGTCTCTGTGACTTGAACAGACTGTGAGGAATATGCAGTTGAAAGAAAAGGGGATTTCTGCATCGTAATTAGCCTTGCGCCGCCGCATGCAAGTTAACTCTTAAATATTGGTCGAAGTTCATTTTTTTTCGCCCGAAATTACAAAACCCATAATTTTTCACCAAACAACTTTCAAAATTAGATATATTTTTTTCGCCGGGAAGGCCGAAGGAAGCCAACCGAGTATATTAAGAAGGAGTAAAAGTTACAAGGAAAAACATCAAATGCACCAAGGTGCAATGCCACACACCACACACTACCACCCAAGCACAAACCGCTGAGGGTGAAGCCTAGCAGCAAACGACCCCCGCTAAGCGTGGCCGAACGCCGCTAGGCCAACGGCAACATCACAGAGACGAGGCTCCGAAAACGATGCCACCAAGGTGGTCACGACATCCAGGATGCCGCCATCGCCTATCTGAAAAAGATGTGGTTTTCACCCAGAGAAGCTCGTCGAGAAAGGGAGAGGGGAACCCTCGACAATGCCCCAAATAGGTTACGACGCCCGAAGACGTAGCCGCTGCCGGCCCGGTGAACCACCGGACTAGGCTTTCGCCTGGGACTCTACAACCTTGACCGCAGGTCGCCGTCCACCAACTCAGAACCACCACACAGACAAATGGCAACACGTAGCATCCACCACACCGCACCGACGCCCCTTCGTCGGTCGACTTCATCGAACCACCACCCCTGAGAGCTGGCCCAAGACCCCTCTGTTCCACCACCCGCTGGCCGCCTTGCCAGTTTTGGCCAAAGGAGAACCCGGGACTAGGTGGCATTGCATCGGCAGCCTGAGCTTCCCCCGCTGACGAGCTGCCGCCTCAATCCAACCTAGAAACTCTCCGCAAAGAAGGGGAGGAGCTCCAGGAAGGGTGAGGGTGCCGACCGGCAACGAGGAAGATGACCCACCGCCGCCAGCTCCCTTAGCACTACCATCTGACCGCCGGTGGTGCTGCCGCTCCAGACCAGCGCCACCCGCCAGCGCCCCCGTTATCCGGCCACGCGCCTCACCTAGCCACCACGACGGTATCTCGGCTGCCCCGCCCAGGACGAGCGGGGTCACCGCTGCCGCGTCGGGCAGGCTGCGCTGCCAGCCGGGCACGCCACCGCCGCCTCCGCGCGCGGGTCGGCCACGCCGAGCTGCGGCCGTCCGCCGCCACAGCGCCCGGGCCGGCCTCGCCAAGCCACAGCCAGCCGCCGCCCTGCCGCCTCGCCACCGGCCGCATGCCGCCGCCACCACGACCGCACGTCGCCGCGCTGGGCGCTGCTGCCGAGCTGCCGTTGCCGCCTCTGGCAGCCGGCCGCGCCACCGCCGCCTCTGCGCGCGGGTCGGCCACGCCGAGCCGTCGCTGAGCCGCGGCCATCCGCCGCCTCAGTGCCCGGGCCGGCCTCGCCGAGCCACAGCCAGCCGCCGCCTCCGCGCCCGAGCCGGGCCGGTCGAGCCGCATCCGCCTGCCGTCTCGCCGCCGGCCGCACGCCGCCGCCACCACAACCGCACGCCACCGCGCCGCCGCCGTGCAGATCCAGGTGGGGGATGGCCGGATCCGGCCTTGGGGGCGCCGGATCCGCCGCCTCTCCCCACCTCGCCGCCGCCTCGGACCGTGCCGGTGGGGGACTTCGTCGTCTTCGTCCCGTCCACTTCACACCGAGGAAGTAAACACCACAAAGAAAAAGGCCTCGCCGCCGCCTTCCCTGCTCGCTGCCGGCTTCGCCGCCGGCGAGCTCCAGCGGCGGCTGAGGAGCGGGGATGGAGAAGAGGCGCGGGCGGCTAGGGTTTTTTCGCCCCCCGAGCCGCCCGCGCGAGAGCGACGCGGGGAGAGAGATAGAAGGGGTTTCATACCAAAATTAGATATATAACATCCTAAACCATATGCCATGGTGTTTTTAATATGCACAATAAGATTATGAATTGCGATAATTATCTCTATTTCAAACAAAACAATTGTAGTTCGGAGTGAAAAATGGATTCTAACAAAGTTCAAAGCTCAAAGATATCTTTTTTTTAGCGGAAGGCACACAAGAGTGATTTAAGTAGTAGTACATTCCCATTTTGAACAGAAATGCACCAAGACATCGAACAGTTAGCTTGTAACCGTAGTTTACAGACAAGTAAAATATGATGGAAAAAAAATTAATCACTTGCCACTTCAATCAGATGGTATTACCAGGACGCAAATACAATTCGATTACTCGTTTAATCTATACTAATAAAAAAAAAGGAGGAGTTCACCATTCCAACCCTTGACAAATCAACTATACCCCACCCACAGCGTCCCACGGCACTCCCACGGTCCCACCTCCCACCATCGCCTTGCCCACACTGGGATACCACGACTCGGATACAGAAACAAAATCACGTGATTTCCTCCCAACCTCCACCACGCAATTTTCTCCGCCTTCATCGCCGCCTCCTTCCCCTTCCGCGCGGTGCCTCCCTCCACCACTGCCGCATCGGCTCCTGCCTCCTATCGCCGCTTCCGCTGCTCCTGTCGTCACCGATGCCGCTCCCGTCTTCGCCGACGACGCCGGTGACTCCCTCCACCGCCGCCTGGTCCCCGCCTCCGTGCCGCTCGCCACCACAATTGGGCCTGCTGGTCCAGGGTTCCGTTGGCGCCACAGCCCCGTCGCCGACCAGTGGTTCAGCCTTCCGCCAGTGCCGCTGCTCCATCGTTCTCCGGTGGTCTAGCCTTCCGTCGCGCCTCCGGTCTTGCCGCCATTACGAGGGGCATAGTCTGCCATAGGTACTTCCAGCCGTGCGCCAAAATTTCTTCTGCTGGTGAGATCGAGTGAGACCCCATTGACTCAAATTGACTCTTCTGAATCCCCATTAGTCTTCTGTGTGGATTCTTATTCAGCTGAAGGGTATGCACATATATTAAATCTCTCCTCTTAATGGTGTGATTCGGTTCTTATCGATCCATATGTGCATCATTGCAGGCTATATCCTATCAAGGTGACTGGTGTTGCTCCATACAGACTAACATTGTAGACTTGTAGTTGCCATGCCTCTTCCAGATTACTTTATAGAGAAATTATATTGTGCAGGTTTGAGAATTGTTCAAGTTCGATCAGATTAAAGGGATCGGCTCACTTTTGAGAATTCATATGTTCCCTTTCTGATTCATTTGTTTAGTACTTTAGTTCTTGAGCACAGATTATTGTGAGCCTTCATCCATGAATAAATTATATATATATTTGTTCAGTCATTCACAAAGTAATTATCTAAATCGAGTACTCAGTAATATAGCAGTTCATGTGTGTTCATGTTGTCTAATGTAGAGCAGTGCATGACTGGTTAGACGGTGATGCATCAGGCGGTGGCTGGCCGGACAGGTGCTAAGCAAGAGCATGCGTGCAGCTGATCAGTATAATGGGTATTTGCCGATTCTAATTCTTTGTCCCTTTTGGTTCAATTTCCCATGTTATAACAAACCATTATTTTTGTATTTCTGGCAAAGAAAGCTAATTTGCGTAAAAAATGAAGGATACAACATTTTTGCTACTCAAGGATGCGGTTGAAGTTGAAAAGTTGGTTTCATTGGTTATTACTGGGAACATGAAATGTTTTATGTTTAGATTTTATTTTTGTAGCCTAATAAAAAGCAAATCTTAATTTCTGATCTAATGTTATACTGCATTCCACCATTTGATTTCTTTAGCTTATACAGATATGCTGGGGATGGGTGAACAGGATGGAAGGCATTTTTTATAGGCCCTTGTCAGATGATGGCTTTTGGCTTTAAGATGCTCTATGAGAAGGGTCAAGGAGATTTTGTTCTGTTATTTACCATTGATTGGCCTTTGGTTGATATATATGAATTAATATACTCCATAGGCACAACAAAAAGGTAATATTCATATATGCAGGATTATTTCTTTGCTTTAAGTTTTTACTAATTTTTACTATGGTTATTGGTCACTGGTCAGATAAGGGTACATACATATATTTGCGTAGTATAAACATATTAAAGAAACTCAGCTTAGTGTATGCAAGGGGGCATGGAACAACTCTGATTCTGAATAGGAATAACTTCTTCCTTTTTCTGGGCTAGGAATTTGAGTGTTTACTTTTTCATTAACAAGCCTTATATGCTCCTAGCTAGCAGCTGCTGGTGAATTGATAAAATTTTGGTGATTTTGTCCTAACGCTTCAAATTTTGTTTTGGGTAGATCCAAGGACAAATATATTCTCCAAACACATGAACTTTTGTTAAAGAAAAATAAGATATTTTATTTTGATGCACAAGTATGTGCTATAGACCCAACCTCTACCCAGGGGCACACGACCAAAACACATTCCATGATGCTCCAGAAGTCTAGCACTACTACAACATGCATAATTTCATCTTTATATTGGCTTTGATCCGGGATTATCCTAGCCATTGTCACATGCTGCTAAGAGGCGTTCCTTTTTTCCTTCTTTGTGAGAGGAGGCAACCTTCATATAAGCCTGGTGGCATCTCTGACCACATGTTTGGAGGATGGAATTAGGCAATGTGATGCACATGACTTCAATGAAGCGCGTTAATCAGGGTTGTAGGTCTGGAGGATGGCATTAGAGAAGGTGATGCACATGACTTAAATGGAGCAAGTTAATCACGATTGCAGGTTTGAAGGACGCCATTACTTACACATAATTCCCTGTCAGAATAATATTTGACATTCATATGCTTGCACACATATGAAATCCCAAAATTATCTACCTGAATGTTCTTGTTTGCCACATGCATACCACAACACTATTGACTATTTGTGAATTATCTGAAATTTGCATTTTACTTATGTATGCTGATGGTTCTCTCTGCTCAATCTCAATTCAAAGAGTTACATGTCATTTTCCTTATAATCTACTGTTAAGTTCCTATTGAATTTATATTCGCTGAACTCTACCCAACCATGTTTGCTGTTGCTCCAACCAAAATTAGGAGGCTTTATGGTCTTTGTGTGTCATACAACTTTATATATGAATTTGAATTTAGTTTTACATGGTCTGAACTTGGGCTTGCATTGCTCAAGAACTTGGTTGACAACATTCTGAAATTGGCCTTGCATTATATGGCATCCTGTGTAGTGTAATTAATGTATTGTTTCTATTAAACATAAACAGGCATATATATTTTCCCTGTGAACTATTGGTTATGCACTGAGTTAATAATTCCTGACAGCCTTTAGAAATGTGGAACACTTTCCTTTTTTTTGTTACAAATTTCCTAGGAGCAAAAAAATTGCCAATCACATCTCATGTTGTGTCCTCCAAAAAAAAATGTTGTAATTTTCTGTCGTGCTGATGACAAATTCTCTATATATACCTCAAACAAGCTATTCATTTTCTGTATTTGGAGTCTTTGTCCTTGCAATATGTGTGAACCTTAGATGTCTAACATTTGCCAGATTAGTGTTTGAACATTTCATATATTATTTTCTGAGCATTTGGCATATTAGTTTCTGACTTGTCCTTATGATGTAGGAGCATCTGAATTTAGAATCTGAACTTCGACAAGCATCTAAATATTGTTCAATGTTTTAATTTGCTGTGAGCTAATGAATGTTATGAATTTCTCATAGCTCAAGTACCGGAAGTTTAGAAATTCTCCAGTCAATGTAAGGTTTGTGTGGGTTTAGTGTCTGACCTTAGCCATTGCAATGTGTGTAAACAATATACTCCTATTATCATTTAAGGTTGAACATGGAATGTATCTTTTTTTTAGAATTACATGAAATGTATCTGAATTTAGTGTGTGGACATACCGTTGCCATTTTTTTGAAGTCAATGTATAAATATGCCCTTGCAAGCACTGTTTCTTCCCATACTTTTACTTTTTTTAATTTAAATATACATTTGGAAAAACGTGCCTTGCACGTGCATTATTACTAGTCCTGATATAAGTATACACAGAATGACAATGCCAAATCCAGCCCATATATCAAGGAGAAAAAAACAAATCTAATTCAGAAGGGGAAGTCTTAATTAACCCCTTAAACGATTGGGTGAGTACAGATTATACCTTTTAGACCCAAAAACCATATATCTTTCACCCTCAACCACTGATACCATAGTGGTTTTGTTCTTACGTGGCAGTCCACTCAATATTTTTGTTAAAAAGAACGGTGGGACTCATCTGTCATATTCTCTCCCTCACCCCTCCCTCTTATCCCTCTGATTCTCTCCCAAATCAGCGGGGCGGAGGAGCTCGAGCGGCAAGCAACGAGATGGAGGCGGTGAGCAGTGGAGGCAGCTAGGGGTGGTAAGCAGCGAGTGGCGTAGGCGGCTCCTCCTTGGCCTCCTCCGGCACGCGCCTCCTCCATGCCACGTGACTTCTCCTTGGCCACCGCTCGCCATCCTCGGCTATCCCAAGTTCCGCATGCTGCCCCAAGCTCTCCCCGTCACCGTCCTTGATGGAGAGAGACGGAGGTGAGGGAGGGGGAAGAGAGAGAGTGATGATTTTGGAAAGAGGGAGATATAAAGAGATAGAAAGATGAAGGGAAAGAGAGGGTGAGATTGACAGGTGGGACTCGCTGATTTAAAAAAGAAGAATTGCTGACTAGACTGTCATATAGGACCAAAACCGTATTAATATTTGAGAGTGAAAGATGTTTGATTTATGGTCTATAACTCGAACTTACCTATTAATTCAAGGGTAATTTGTTCTTTTCCCAATCTAAAATCGTGTTTAGGAAGATAAGTAGTAGCATACATCGTCAGGAACTGGGGAGCTAAGGATTTGGGGCAAAACTACACTGCCAGATGCTTTAAAACATTAAATAAATTCATAATACTCAATTAATCGTACGTTAATTATATTTCGTTTTATCGTATAGCTAATCATCCAAACCGGCTAGATGAAAAGAACGCGGCCTTCTAAACAGGCCTAAATTAGGCGCGTACACGCGCGGATGCACAACCACAAATGCTCTGGGTAGGAGAACCGAGAATGCCAGCACGTTACTCCCTCGTGATGTCTCCACTCCCCAGATGGACCAGGCCAGGTTTTAAAATCCGGTGCTGTTGCTTCACGAGAAATGGCCCGCGGCGTCGTGCAGCTGCAGCAGCTAGTGGTAGTGGTCGGCGGCGTTGCACTGAATGCGAGAATGCTTCTTCCTCGTCGGTTATTCAGCATTCGCATATTCAGATATTCTGATATTCCCCTGGTCGACCACAAAGTAAACACGTCGGTTTCCCAATTATTTTTACTCACTTGATTCTTAACCCCGAACAGTGATATCCTTCTCATTGCTTGCTCACATGCATGCCTAAGAGACTAATACAATGATCCCATCATAAGATTGCAAAGCTAATAAAGAAAACATACGGTGCAAACAGAGGTACTTACTCATTACTGTTGTATTGCGCGCCAGCGAATTCCGCAAGGGTACCAAACTACCAATGACTCCCACACCAACTAATAAAGTACTGAGAATGTACACCTAGAATCAATACCACACAAATAGTACCATCCATGATAGCAAATGTTGGGTGATGGACTGATGGTCTATTCTATCATCTACCATGTGCTTACACGGCCGATTCAATTCGCATATATACTACTACTTCGAGAGAGAATCGGATCCACATGACCATCCAGGCACTGGTCACGCATAAAGTGCGTTGTCCCCTTCCAACTCCAAAGCTAGCATGCATAGCTCCAGAAGGATAATGGGATCAGAATCATCGATATCGTCCGAGGCTTTAGGGGGTGTTTAGATGGGGCTAAAACTTTTTAGCCCATATCACATCGGATGTTTGGACGCTAATTTAGAGTATTAAATATGGACTAATAAAAAAAACTAATTTCATAAATGAGAGCTAATCCGCGAGACGGATTTTTTAAGCCTAATTAATCCATAATTATCAAAAGTTTACTGTAGCATCACATTATCAAAATCATGACGTAATTAGACTCAAAAGATTCGTCTCGCGAATTAGTCCAAGCTTATGGAATGGGTTTTGTAATTAGTGTATGTTTAATACTCTAAATTAGTGTCCAAACATTCGATGTGACAGAGACTTAGAATAAGTCGCTGGAAACCAAACAGACTCTTAGCTACCCAACACATGGCCTTGCCGTATGCATGCGCATGTTCCCAACCCATCATATCATATGCCCCGCGTTATAGGCTACTGGTTGTACTGGCTTCTTTTGTCAACCATCCGACGCACGGCCACGTTCTGCGCCGTCGGTTGGGCTGCCGAGGAGGTTAGTATTCTTTACTAGATCGATCTATCTGTCGTTACATGTCATCTTATCCCAAATGGATCGATGGCTTCATTAGGATGACATGTACATCTATCTAACCCGTCCATTTTCTCCGGATTAAGATAAGATAGATGGTGGTGGCCTCCTCTCCTGCCCGGATTATGACTCATCACCACCTCATCGGCGACCCCATGCATGACGATCTGGAATTCTGGCCCAGCTGCTAGGTCTTAATTGCAGTTAATCTCAAAGGGTTTTTAGATTAGCAGGAGTAGTGCTTTAGAGGTTTTTTCCTCTTTAGTTTGCCCAGTACAGCTCAGCTTTTGCTTCTAGAAGGTGGTTGCAGGATAAAAGGAATGGCCGTGAGGGGTCGCCAGATCAAGAATCTAAAGAGAGCGCTTTTTTTAGTTCAGAAATCGATCGGCACTACTGTTGATCGAGTACTGTACATACGTAGAGAAAACGTGCTATCAGAAGAGTTCGACTAGATTTTTCATTTGTTCACTCGCCCAAATTCCAAGCCTTATCGTTGGAATTCCTAGCTTTAGCACAAGAATCGGCTGCGCCCAATTATGAAAGCGAAGGTCTCAAAAATGCCAGCTTGCTATCATTTTACCGAATATGCAGCTATCTCGATCGCATCCAGGACTCCAGGCTCTATAGGGTCACACAGATGACATGACAGTGGATGATTCTAGCTTTCCTCTTTGTTGTTTTTACTTTTACGTTTTGGCGTCTTTATTATTCTTCCTTTCCGTAGGCAACAAAATTGTACATGTTAATTTGGGGATCCTTGTCATTAATTTGGGCATGGATAGAGTCGAGTGCGTTGCTCGCTGTTAGGTTTTGGTTTTGGACGGTTCGGCGGTAGCTCTTTTGTTGATCTAGCAGCAGTCGGTAACGCTTAGCGATGGCCGGTCCAGTGCTAACTTTTTCTTGGGTTCTATAAAGACGTTGTCGGTGTATGGTGGTGGTGTTTTTTTCTTTCTAGGCTGTCGATGATATGAGCCCAGAGGTATTAGGACCAGAGGGAGGAGGCCGTCCCCGGTACCCACGTGGCACTCCCCCGAGGGAGGGTCGGGCCTAGGATAGGGCGGCGGCGGCCCCCTCCATGCCTGGGGTCAGGCTGCCCCGACCCCCTCTGCATGACGCCGCATGTGCGGGGTTAGGTGGGCGCCCCTAACACCCACCTAACCACATTTAAGGCGGCATGAGCGGGCGTGCCATGCCGCATGCGGCGTGTTGTGCGCCTGACCGGTTTGTGACCAGCCGAATGATTGATGGGACCGGAGTATTGCGCCTATGTACTACTCCCTTGTCAGGCGGCATGCAGTCTGACCTAATCCGTCACGTCATGATGATGATCCTAGCCGGAGTCGGTTCATCTAACCCAGTCAAAGCAGGGTTTCCGTTTTCCGGCGCAAGTGAGGACCCAAAAGTCTTCACCCATTAAATGGTGAATGACACGGGTGTCCCCTTGTGCCGGTTGGATTTGATGGGCCCCATGCCATGGCGCCCGTGCGTGTGGCTTCCAAGTCAAGCAACAAGACATGCATTTAATGTAGAGAATGTCCTCCCTCATCCCTAGGTAGACTTCTAGGCCCACGTGCCAGCCCCTTGAGATATAAAAGGAGGTCCAGGCTTGGTGAGGGAGAGGGGGCGATTCTTTGGCGAACTCATGCTTGGGTCTCGCGACTTAAGTACTTTGTAACTCACACTCATCAACCAATCACAGGACTAGGGTATTACGCTTCTCAGCGGGCCGAACCTGTATAAACCCCTTTTGTCTCCTCGTTCCTGAGGGGCCAGACCCCCTCCACTTCACGCCATTCCATAGAGTCCTCGATTCTCACCTGCTGCCCCCGACCGAACTAACAAAGGGGGGCCTCACTATCCCCTGCTTGAGGAGTTCACCCTCTGACACAGGATATTGCCTTCCAGGGTACTAGTCTTGTATTTTTTTCTGCTCTATTCAACGAATCATCGCACCGTCTAGTGTTGTTCGTTAAAAAAAAATTGGGAATCAGAAATACCCCATCCATTGCAAGAAAAAACTCAATCTAAATAAAAATATGACCACAACGAATCTGAATAATCCTCGATGTGTCGCATCCTATGATGTTGGTTTATTTTGAGATAAAGGGAGTATCTTATTAGCACATCACATGCAACAAATATATATCCTTATGCCATGTCATTAATTATTATAGATTTGAAGAATATGTTTATTTGATATTTTAAAATAGGCAAAATTGGTTATATAGCATCGAAAGTTCACGTTTTTAGTTTTATAGTACCGAAAGTTACCGGTTCACTTTAATAGCATCAAAAGTTCACCCTGTTCCCATTTTTAGCACTTCCGTCATTTTTTCCGTCCGTCTTGATCGTTATTGATCCAGCCACACACATGATATGACATTTCTACCCCTCATTGACATGCATTATATTTGTACTTGTGAGGGGTACAAACGTCATATCGTGTGTGGCTGGATCAAGACGGACGGAAAACGATCGAGAATTGATGGAAGTGTTAAAAATGGGAACATGGTGAACTTTAGGTGCTATTAAAGTGAACTGGTAACTTTCGGTGCCATAAAACCAAAAACGTGAACTTTCGATGCTATATAACCAATTTTGCCTTTAAAGTAACTTATATAAAAGTTTTTTTTCAAGAGATATAAAAAGTTTTTACACTAAATACATCCTTTAACTGTTTAGAAAAAACATGAAAATCAAGATAAGATCTTTATCTTAATTTAAAAATAATGAGACCTTGGTATTACACGATCTCATCAACACTTTTATTAGGAAAGAAAAGAAAAAGGATTGTGTTCTTAGGGCATGTTCAATGGTAGAGACGGATATGGTCTCTTAAATAATACAAGATTATTTAGAGACCATGTCTTTACAATAGTTGAGACAACAAAGTCTCTAATCATTAACTCAAAAAAATTCCTTTTGTTAATATTCTTTCCATATGTTTATCCTCATGCAACCATTTTTCCATATTATAGTGACTAAGAGTCGTTGTTAAGCCGTTGTCATGCATAACAACGATGTTTTGTCTCTCCTCTTTCTCTTTCCTCCATGTCAACAAGTATTCCTAATTAGCAACGCTAAGAGACCACTATTGACAACCATTGTACATGCCCTTACCCCCATTTTCTCAACCCACCTCTCTCGTTTTCCGCGCACACGTTTTTCAAACTGCTAAATGATGTGATTTATAAAAAACTTTCTATATGAAAGTTTTTTAGAAAAATCATATTAATCCATTTTTTTAAAAAAAATTAGTTTATACTTAATTAATCATGCAATAAACAAACTTCGTTTTCTGTGTCGGGGAGGAAGGGTTCCCAACATGAGCTGAGAACAAGTACTACCTCACGTTCCCACGACTGTCTCGTGCTGTCGTGCAGTGCCACGTTCGTCCACGCAGGACTAACCGCTACACGCCGTGACGTGGCACGATAAGAGCAAGTATAATAGGCTGTTTTAGCCGGCGATAAAACGGCCACGTCAGATTTGTTGATGAGCTGGGCAGGAGAGAGAGCGTGAGCCGGCGAGTAAATTATCGCCGACTATACACGCGCTCCAACGCAGTGCAGCAACACTAGGTTAGCTATGATTGGGCCACACAGTTGTGGGTCCACGCGAGTTGAGGCGAAGCGGAAATGGCAAGATGAAGCAACGGCAACCGGCCGAGAATGCAGAGGCAGCGCAACGGCGACCACCGTGGTGAGCTTGAGTGCGAAGTGCTCGACGACGATGGAGCGGAAAGCTCGCCGACGAGGCAACAAGAACTATAGCAGAGAGAGCTCGTTGATGGCGAGATATAAGCTGAGCTCGAGGACGTCGTTGGCTGTGTTGGTGGTGACGAAAGCTCCGAGGTCACACAACGGTGCCATTGGCGGCGACGAAAGCAGCTAGCTCGAGGGTTGTGGCGACGGAGAGAGAAGTTGCGAGCTCGAACGATGACTGGAGTGACGGCGGTACAGCGTTTCCCGTGCAGCTGCCTGTCATCCTACTTCACCCTTGCTCCACTCATCCGCCGGCTTCTCCGGCTCCGCCGGTGTCAATTCGCTAGCAACTGGTATCTATCTGTGTCATGCTCGTAGCTTGTGAAAACACATCCTCGCTAGGTTGCTGGCAGCAACCCATTCAAGCAGGAGGTGGGAAAATAGGTACAGTACCGCAACAAGCAAGAAGATAAATTGGATGGGGAAACTTAAGATTAAAAAAAAGGATAGCAGTCGGTGTAACCCTGCTTATTGTATACGTTAACTTTTGGCACTAGCTATAAGAAGCTGACGTGGTCATTTTTACCGTCATTAGCCGGCTGCACCATTAACCTTGCTCTAAGCCCCCGCCGGTGCAGCGGCGCCGAAGGGAATCAGC